AGTGAAAAAATAAAACATCAAAAACGGACACTACAAACTCCAACTTAACTCAGTTGAACGACTCAGTAGAACAATTCAAATTTTCATGAGTCTTAGTCAATAATATTTGAAATAAAACATAACAACCCAACCATAGATAAAAGATGAACTACCATTATTTGAAGCAAAACATAGCAAAGATCATAATTTTTGAAAAGTCAAAACTCCAATCCATTGCGGTCCATAGTTTCGAAATTTTACAAAATGGCTGCCGCCACGCCACAAAAAAATTTTTTTTACAAGTCTAGGAATGTTCAAAAATTTTGGAATTTTAATTATATACAAAGTATAAATCAGTTATTTACACAGTTTTATAGTCCATGTTAACTTTGAAAAATTTCGCGACGTGAATGACTGATTGATCAATGCCGAAGCGAATTCGCATTTGCTGTAAAAACAAATGAGAAATTTATAATGCTCTTTTACTTCTATTCTATTCTAAAGAATTTTTCATAAATCAAAAAATGATACATTTCGCACTCATACGTAGATGCTAATCGTATGGCACCACTATTCCGAATTTTTTCCTAACTCTTTCCCCAAAAAAATATACTTACCGCGGTTTGGAAGCTGCTGTGCAGAGCAGTGAGGAATGGGTGCTTGGCAGCTAGGCTAAGAATTCGCTTTTCACACATTGTACATTCCACATCGTCATCTTGCACTATCACATCTTTCTTCAGGATTTTTACAGCATAAACTTCATCGGACCCTTTTTTCTCAGCCAGCATGACCTAAATTTGGAGCTTATTTTCGAAAACTGTAAAGATTGCACGACAAGAAGTCAGCAAAACATAGATATGTAATTGATTGCAGTGCCACTCACCTTTCCAAATGATCCTTTACCAAGCACTTTGATGAATGAGAAATCCGAAATTGACATTGTGCTTCCGTCTCCAGCGCTTTTTGGTGATTTCACTCCTGGTTCTTCTTCCGAGATTTGTTGCAGGTATTGTGCTAAAAAATAATTCTTTTCTGACTCCATATAAACAAAACATCAAAAATCTTACATTGTCCAGAATCTGTTGTACTTGTAGTGCTTATGCTGGTCGTGTCCGTATTCGAGTCTGTCATAATTGATGGCTGAAACAAAAGGCAAAAATTGAA